GGGGAGCGGTCTGCCACCCCAGCTCTCACCCCATTGCTGTCACGGCCCCCTTTTCTTGGGCTATGCCAAACATCCCGTGGGCTCTGCCCTAGACGGCCGACTCTATGTAGGCCGTACAGGCCAGCGTGGAACAGACCATGTTCACAGCCCTAACATGGACGTACACCTGACGCAGGCTGAAGACAGGGCACTCCTTTCCTGCCTTCTGAGTCTCCTGGGTGTACAAGCACCTAAAACCGAGCGCTAGAGTCTTGAGTAGGGCCGGCAAGCCTAACCAGCTCCTGAGAACAAGGAACTGCAAAGCAGTTTCAGCTTTATAAACCTTGACACGCACCCTCCTCAGAGCCCGACCAGTGTCCCTATCGGGAGCCACACTGCTGGCTCTCAGAGGGGCTGCCAAAGGCGTCCACCTCTACCTTCTTGCTGTAGGCATGCAAGGCAGTGACACCCGTGATGACAAAGCGAGATTCGCAGCAGGCTCTCCGCCCGGGACTTCTCTGGTTCTGCCCCACGTGGTCTTTGAACCAGCTTGCCCTAACGCCTTCATGTCCCTGCACAGGGCTGCACAACGGGAGGAGGCCGCCTGCATTCTTACACGAAGCTCAGGACACTTGCTTTTTGACCTAAAAAAATAGCTCGTCCTTTCCTGGGCCAGCCTCTCAAGAGCTTCAGGTGCTTCGCCAGAAGCTTGACTTAAAAGTGCCTGTACTTGTTTAATCGAGGCAAATGTCTTTTAAGGATGCAAAAGGCACATAGTAGGCTCGCTCCCGGTGGCGATGGTAACCGCCAGGGACTCTCTCTGTTTCAGGGGTCCCCTCCCCCAGGACACTCCGCAGTGACTCACCAGGTATCATGCCTCCGGCTTCGCAGCTCCTGTGTGTCACACTCGGTTTCCACTTCCTTTTGCCCGTCGCGCCCTCCCTGCCCCTTGCTGGCCCTGGCACAGTGTCTTCAGGTTCAAAATCTGAAGCGTTTGACGTCTTAGTTCAACAAGACGCCCTTACGTCTGACCCATTTTCCTCTCTGCTTCCGCTTTGGCATGACATGGCACCAAATGTGTCCTTGTCACCACGTGTTGACAGCTTAGAGGCATATGTCACTTGGGCTGTCCTTACCTGCGTAACAGGGCCTCTCTCACACTGCTGGGACACTCAGCTGAACTGTCCTCGCTCACCTGGCTGAGACACTGCACGAGCGACTGTGACAGCTGCAGTCTGGTGCCTTCCTGCAGAGTGGGCCAGCCGGGCTGGCCTAGCCCACTCATCAGGATTAACAAGCACAGGCTCATGGTACCGTAGCCCAGGAACTTGTCCCCTACGGTTGGGCATTCACAAACTTATCCCACCCCCCAAAAAGTAAGCTCTCACCGCGATGGCTCACAGTGCTGGGGCCGTGTGGGGCTTCGGCAAGGCCTGGCTGCCAGCCGCATTTTCAGTGCACAAGGGAGGACACTGGCCACCGCACAGAGCCAAGCACAGTCCTGGCAGAGCCTTTTCCAGAAGCCTCGCGGGCATGTATTATGGACGGGGGATGGCCACCCAGGACTCCGGAAGTGCATGGGCCCTTCCCAAGACAGTGAATAGGGCTCAGCTTCTGGGATTCTAACAGCTTTTTTTCCCAGTGAAGTTAGGCAGCTAGGGCCTGGTTTCTTCTCCTCCTCGAGAGGCCAAGCCCTGGCTTCCAGCCTCTAGACACAGAGCTTTCGGGCAGCTCCCCTGCCAGCTCTTTGGGGTCACGGATCAGCTGAATGCTAGGGTTGGCTGGAGTGCAGGACCCACCAGAGCCTTGGATAAATTATCTGAATCCACCAATAGAATCCAGTTGTCTGGGACCAGACCCTTTAAAACTCTTTAGCGGGTCCCTTGCTTCCAGTGTCAACCTTTGCCTAGGATTTGAAACCAGCTCAAGAGACACCTGAACCGGAACAGGCTTGCAGGACTGCAGCCTACACGGGGACTTACGGTGACCAGGGCACGGTTTCCTCCTTGGGTCAAGGGAGCACAACTGGTAACCACGCTGCTCTAGCCAGCACGTAGGACCCCCAGGAACCTGGGGGCGTAGGGAGGCCCTGCTTCCTGGCCCCGGGCCGCCCGACTTGGAACCTGGAGGGCAGAACAGAAGCAGGAGAGATGCTTGGACTGCTGCTGCCCTGTCCTCTGGGGCCTGCTCGGACCCAAACTCCTGGAAAACGCAGCATTAAAAGAAAAAGACATTTGAGGTCACTGCTAGGGCAGAGTGACGGAAAGTTCGTTCTGGGGGGCGGGAGGCCCAGAGGCTTCCCTGCCGCGAGGAGGCTGGCCGGTCATGCCGGCCGTGGCTGCAACTTTATTCCTGAGCTGTCCCTAGGGAACACTGCTATACCCGGAGGGTTTCCCCAGCTGGTTTCTCCCACCCCGGGCCCAGTCCCATGGGGTTCCCCTTCCCAGCCCTCAGGACCCTCTGGGCCCTGCTTCTGCCTCCAGTCTTACCTGTCTAAGCTGTCCCTTCTGACTAAAGCACCCTCCTGGCTTTTCCGTCTGGCCTTTGTGTGAAGTGGGTAATTTTTCCTACAAAAAGTCTGCTTTCTTAGACATCTTAAAAGAAGTTAAGACCTGACCTTGGAATCAAGTCAAACAGGGCCAGATGGCCAGACCCCAAATGATTATGTGCTGTGGTCACTGAGAAGGGATAAACATTTCTCTCGAGCCGTGGAGGTTAAGTGCAGGTGCATCTAACTCCTCCTCCACCTGCCCTGCCTCCTACACAAAGCCTGAAGGGCCACCTGAAGGTGGCTCAGGTGGTGGTAATGCAGGGCGACGGGAGCCGTAAGGACAGATAGGGGTGTCCTACCAGCTAAAGCTGGACCGCGCCTTGGAGTAACAGTCCAACAGATATTCCCTGAGCCCCCATCATAAGCCGCGCTCAGTGGCTGCCATGGTGAGCAAAACACAGACGAGACCTCCGTCCTAGGGGAACTCGGTCCCAGACTTCTGCTCCAGCAGCAGCAGGGGGCACCACACTGCCCTCCACCAGAAAGCACCTGGCACCCACGCAGCACCCTGCTTCCCTCTCAGGCTGCCCTTGACGTTCATTTTTGCATCCTTCCCACGGACAACCTCGAGCCCCTCCCTCCCTTCCTCCCTTTTGGAGGCGAGGTGCAGGAGGAGACGTGGCGTTTCTCCTTCCTAGCCGCCCCTCAGGGCTACGGATAAACCCACGGGACAGGGGCACTGCAGATCAGAACCCTGTGGGTCGTGAAATGACCAGGCCAGACATTTTCAATGCAGAGAGTCCGGCTTTGTAAAGCCTGACGCCTCCCCTGCTCCAGCTATCAAGTGGAACCACACCTTGAGACTGGCTGGGATGTGTCGCCTTCGGCCTCAATACCTGTGCCTCAGCTGAGTTTGTGTTTTTTGCCCCTTCTAAAAAATCTCTTCCAACCTTGGCGGTTTCTGTCCTAAGGAAACGTGTGTTTTCTTCAAACCTGCAGGCGAGGAAACGAGACCTCTTTCGTTCCCTCTAGAAGGGCTGGAGGACGCAGAGTCATCGAAAATGCAGATGGTTCCGATGAGGAAATGGACGCTCGCGATGCAGACTTCAACGGAACCAAGGCCAGTGAATAGACACCTTGCTGAAAACAACAAGACGACACCCAGTGGACTCTGCTTAGCACCGTCTAGACCCATTTTCAAATTCCGAACATCACGGACACCCCTCACGATGAACGTCAACCACCACCCTGGGTCCAGGGTATCAAAGTTTCGAACGAGAAACCCAATGAGAAAAACCAACAGCAGACACAGACACACCCACTCCCCCTCTGTCCCGTGAATTGTGCAGAGAGTTTGAGTTTTTAGAAAAATATATCCACGGTAACTTAATCACTGACAACTTAGTTTACATAAACTGGGGAGAAAGTCACCAAAATGGGTGCCACTGTCCCCCACTCCCAAGCCGTGCCCTAGCCTGTGTGCCTTCCAGGGTCGTGAGTTGGTCCTTGTTTGAGAACTCTCCCCCCGTCCCGGCTGCCACGCCTCAGACGCACACAGTTCACCGAGGCCCAGGGGCTTCGTCAGTCACCTGAATCCAAAGCAGGCCCTGCTCGAGCAGGTAAGAGCAGGAGCGCCACACCGTCTTGTATGCACCCCGACTGTACTCGAGGACACTCACTAATAAAAGGTTATAAGTCACTAGAACGAAGTCGGCTTTTCTGTTTTCGAGAGCAAAAGAGTGGGGGACGTTCTCGTTGAACCCTCACAACGACCCTGTGAAGTCGGGGTTAGTTCACGAACGGGGAAACTGAGGCCGGGGGAGGTGACGTGAATTAACTGCCCACGCTCCCACCTGGCAAGAACAGAGACGCAGAGTGAGTCCGTGAGGGGGCTTCTCCCACCAGGGGCTGGGCAGGCCGGGGCTCAGGCAGGAAGCACAGGACCCGGAGAACAGCCTTCCCGATCAAAACCAGTACGTACACAATGTGAAGAGTACAAGATTTCCTTGAATTTTTAAGTCAAAACAGACAACTTTGCCTGGCTGGGGTTGACGAACTTTTTCCGCAAAGGCCAGAGTAAATATTTCAGTTTATACCTGGTCCCTGTCAGAGCTTCGGCTTTTATTTTCTCTAAACCACCCTTTACAAACATAAAAGCCATTGTTCACCCGAGGGCCACACTAAACCAGGCCGTGGCCCTTCCCCTCCTCGGCTTGAGCGTTCTAGACAGACTCCTTGCCAAGCTTCCTTCAGCACAAACGATTCCATAAGCCAACTCCAGGGGCTCACACAGATTTGAAGAGAGAAAACATGGGCACTGAGAAGTCTCGGCCGAATGGCCAAACGCTAGTAGACCCTGAACCCCACACACAAACGTCTCACAAACACAGTTCTAAGGAGCTGAATTGAAGGGAAATATTTAAAAAGGTTTTTTTCCCCCACATTTCCTTGGTTAAAAAAAAGCGTTTTCCACCACCGTACGTGTAGATGCAGAACCACAAAGCAGCATTCACTGACCACCACCATGAACTAGGTGAAAATTAGTTTCTTTTGGTTTTATTGTTCTTTTAAAAAAGTAAAGGTACATCTTTCGTCGACCTGGGTTAGAATGTTGGTAGGGTAACGAACTGAGCACTGAGGTTTGATTCTGTTGAATTTTAGTAACACTTGAAAGAGTCTATTTTCAAATCAAGGCTATTTTGGTGTTCTTTTGGAAAAAAGAACTTCGTAACAAAAGGAAGGTCGTTAAGCTGCACACACATGCTCCTGACTTTGTGTTCTTTTCACACGTGACCGAAAGCGTGAGACAGCAGCTCGCACAAGCAGAGGTTAAGTACAGACCCCGTCCGCGTGGGAAATCTCGTGTTTGCTGCTCCTTTGACAAGGACGCTCCCGACAACAATCCTGGTGTGCGATGGTGTCATCTTATTTGAAGGTCACCCTGATTATGTCATTATGGCCTTGAATAAAGTCCTATTCTTAAAAGCTGCATATTAAGAGGCCACTCCATCCCAGTGACCCTCAGGGTCTTGAAGCGGAGGTCCTCCCCCCCACCACGCGAGGGGTGGGGACCGAGGACAATTAACGGTTGGGACAGATCTAAAGAAGACACAGATTTTCCACTGACCTGGTCCACACAAAATTTACTCTAAAACTTGAGCACACCTCTAAAAGCCTCCGTGAGAGGCAGAATAAAAAGCGTGGGAGGTACACTACACCACAGTTTTAAAAACAGGCTTGTGCCCAGGCCACCCTTCGCCCCTAGACATGCTCTCAGCGTGCTGACCCTGCTGTGCCATCCTGTGCCAAGTGGGGCCGGGGTGGGCTCGACGTGGCTCACATCCCATTCGTGAGGCGTCTGTGGACATTCAAACCACCTCTCGAGACCAAGCAGGACCCGGGTCAGCTCGAAATGACAGGGTCGCCTCAGCAGCACACCTGAGCACCCTCTTCCAGGGGGGTCCGTTTGCAACACACTGACAAGGAGGCTGGGGTTCACGAGACAACAGTTCACGGGGACCACAGGCATCAGCCTCAGTCAATGGCTAGTATGACTGTTCACTCGTATTTCTCAGACTAACTTAAAAAAAAAGAAAGAAAAATAAAAACCTAGTGTAAAGAGGGGAACAGGTGACAACTCCCGCACAGACATCGGCAGCTTCGCTTCTGTGGATTTTCTAAAGCAACATCTTGACTACACCCTGGGCTGACGGCAGCGATGGCGAGGACAGATTGGAAGGCGGCTTCCCAAATTCCAGGCGTTTTCCCGACCTTCAGACAGAGTAAACCATGTTAAGCGGCATGACAGCTGTTTCCGACTGACTAGCATCAGGACCCACCAGGTCATGAGAGTGAATAGTATCGCGAAGCAGGAGCGGTCTCAGGGGGGTCTCAACTTTCCCTCCTGTGAAACGAGGAAAAGGACACGGGCGTCTAGCTCTGACGTCCCCAAGGCCACACAAAAAGCCAGTCGCAGAAGACCCTCTAAAGTCATCCCCTTCTAAAGGTCCGGGAGTTACGTGCACGCTATGGAAAGCGATTCTTCACTTCCTGTCATCTGTGCCACAGACCTACCAAATTTATGTGGCCTGGGGTCCAGTAAGATGGTGGCACATCTTTTAAAAAGAAATAGTCTTTTTTTGTTGTTGTTGTTGTTGTTTTGGAAGCTGCTCTGATTTTCTTCCGGCAAGAAAATCAGTGAAGCCTTTAGAAGTCAGATTTGTGTTTTCCAATCTGCGGACTGGTTTCAGGAACCGAGTCTGGCTGGAACCTAGTGCCAGTTTCCTGATGGTTTTAAAGAGACTTTAAAAAAAAAAAAAAAAAAAAAAATTCTCTTCTGGGGGAAGCAGAGCAGTGTTTGAAGCTCAAGTCCCAAACAAGTGACTTACACAGGACACTCCCACAGCGTGACCGGGACCGGGGCTGCAGGATCAGATAATAAACACGAGCCTCTCCTTAGCTGTCTGCCCAAACAGAAGACACCACCTAACTCTGCCTCAAGGGACAGGAGTGAAGGATCAGGTTCACTGATATAATCCTGCAACTTTTAAAACATGGTTCTCGGTTGGGGGTAAGAGTCTCCCAGCTGGAGTGACAGCAAAAGGTACTGACCCTTTATCAGCCAGAGGTGCGCTGGTGCTGCCTGGCCGTCTGTCGCCGCCATCTCTGCTCTTGCTCCCCCGTCCTGAGGCCGGGCCGCTTGTTCGGTTTGGGGACTGCTCATACACGAAGTTCCGGCAGGATGCAAGTTTGGACTCCAGTGCCTGCAGAGAAATATGCTTTCATCTCTCAAGAACTCGAATCTCTCACCGGAGCCTGTATGCAGACAAGAACCTAAAGCACTGGTTCTCCAAGCGTGCTGTGCGCTGGGAGTCCAAAGGTAGGCCCCAATGGGGTCCAAGGCACATCCAGCTCTCAGACCCGCTGGCCTGAGATTTAGCTGCTCCCTGGAAAATCACTAGCCCTGCCGATGATCCGACTCTGCCTATGGGAAACATGAAATCATCTTGGGAGGTTACTCGCTCACTCTTGCTTACCTTGTGGAACATGCACAGAGAGGCAGGAGGTTTAGACCAGGACTTGGCCTTGATGTAAACAGGCCTCAGGAAAACTGAGGGCACTGAGACCTCCTCTCCCCCAGGCTTCTCTATACTCTATGCTGAATACTGAGAGACCTGTTTGTATAACAAAAAGATAACCAAAAGCCCAAAGTAAAAACATTAAGAATTGAGTGGCGAGCCTCTCGTAAGTTGTAGCTCTATTATTTCTTAGGCACAAAAGAATCCTTCCCTATTATTAATATAAAACCTGTAAAGTCAAGTTCCTTGCCCTAGCCTTTCAAGATTTTAACTCCCTGAGAAATAAAAAGAGGCGACTTTCAAATTTCTCAGTGTTTTGAAATTTAAACAAACAAACATAGATACCATCTAAATTTCCCAACTTCTGAGGAAAATGGTACAGGGATCAAAGGGGTGACTTCAAGCCTGGGCTCTGGGTATCCGTCAACGCCGAGGCCCACAGAAGCGTCGAGTCTAAGAGACACGACAGACCCGGAGCTACAGCT